TGTGAAGGGTTTGCTTTTCTTAACTCCAGCTCTGTATTCTCTTTGTCACTGTAGAGAAATCCAACTGATTTTTGTATGTTGATCTTGTATCCTGCTACCATGCTGAATTGGTCAACTATGTCCAACATTTTTCTTGCTGAGTCTGTAGGGTTTTCTAAGTATACTATCATGTCATCTGCATAGAGGGATAATTTTACTTCCTCTTTGCCAATTTGTATATCTCTAATGTCTTTCTCTTTCTTATTGATAGCTGGGTTTTCAACAGTTTACTTCTCTGTAGTTCTCACCCTTGGTGCAAACAGATCTAGTCCTGATGAAGTTGTAGCCAGCCATAGCCTGTATGGGGCTGATTTCACTGGAGTGATGATGTTAGCTTCAATCAGAAGCACACTTTAACAGAGCTCCCTCTGTTGCCTCAGCTGTTAGTGTTTGGTGTTAGGTGCCATCAAGTTGATGCTGGCTCAGCCTGTCGCCCTCTGCCATCCTCACAGTTGCTACTGCATTGGAACCTTTGGTTGCAGCCATGGTGCCCTCCATCTTAATGAGGACATTCCATTTTGCTGGCCCTATGGCATGTTGTCCTTCTCCAGGGACTGGATCCCTCTTGATAACATACTCAAAGTACATGAGACCAAGTCTTGCCATCCTCTCTTTTTGGAGCATGTGGCTATACTTCTGAAAGGCAGATATGTATGTTCTTCTCCCAGTCTATGTCAGTGTTCTTTACCTCATTCACTCACTTCATTCCCTGCCATCATGAGTTGGTACTCACAGCTGACCCTTCACTGAGTTTCTGAGACTGTAAGTCACATGGGAAGAGATTAGTTACCTTTCTTCTTCTGGCGCACCAATACATTCTGACCACCAGTGAGGCATGGCCTTAGAGTTAACAGTGTAACTCCCTATGGTTGACACCACCAGAGCACCCCAACTTAGGTGCAAAAGGAGCAGTGGAAACATGGAAGTGGCCAAGTCTGACTTCTGCTCGCTTCATAGAGGAGAACTGTACCCATAATAGTACCATAGTACCAGAATAGCTACAAGGTCAGACAAGCTAGTCCCCATGCTCCTGCACCTATTTTTACTTTTGGATCCAGTGTGGAGGAGGCAGAGAATATCTCACAGTGCAAGTCCAAGTTTAGACCAGCAGTCCCAAGCCAGAGTAATAAGGCACAATTCCTTAATTAATAAAAGTAAAAAAAAAAAGAAAGAAAAAAATTAATAAAAGTCCAGGTTTAGTTCAAGAAGCACAAATGCAAGAAACCAACCCAGAGGTTTCTTCAATCATCCAACAAACTTTATCTCAGCAGTTATGAGTCAGCTTTTCCTTCAGCCATTCAGCAAGCTAAACTTTTAACTATGCCTTTATCTCCAGGGTTGCTCTGATTACACCTTGCCACAGTCTCTTCACCGTCTCTCACCACCGTCATTGTCTTCTCTCACAGTGAGAAAAGTACTCTCTTCTATTAGTCCCACAGTTCTTGATGATTTTCAAGACCATATGTCTTCAGTTAAGTTTGCTAGAGACCATGCCCCTCACCTCCAACATGGGCTAACACAATAGCTAGAAAATCTCATTTTCAAGTGTTCTAACTCCCCACTAGGTTTAATTGTGTCAGTACAGTATCTATAATGTTCCTTTTTAATATCTCACATTAAAAATATCTCATATCTTAGGTTCAGTTCAGTATAATGAATGTGGGCCAAATGCCATTTTATGTCACAGGCTACATCCAGCAGAGCATCCCCACGCAGCAAAATGAAAACATCCGTGGTTGGAGTGTTATAGACGGGATTTTAATCTGGGTTTCCTTTTTTGTTACATAGGGTTTTTGCCTAGTTCTTGTGTTTTTCTTTTTTGTTTGCATTTGTTTATTTTGTGAATTTGAAAGTGGCATCAAGTATAGAACCACACACCATACTGTGAGGTAGCCACAGGCTTGTGACATTTTTCAGATGAAGAAATTGAGGCTCAGTAGTGCAGAAAGCTGCACTGTGCTGCTTATGTTCCCAAGTAAAACGAGGACCACGTAGATATTGCTCAGCATGAGTGCTTCTTGAATAAAAGAATAAATAACTCTGCCTTTTCTTAAAATGAGAAACTTAAAAATGAAAATACTGTCTTTATGTCCAATCCGATTATCTGCAATATTTTATAGAATCCTATAATTCATAGGATCACTGTGAGTTGTAGTCAGCTTGACAACACCTTACATCATCATTAAAAAGAAAAACTATATGTTAAACGCTTTCATTTGAGTAATAAAATTTAAAGACTTTAAAAAAAATTTTTATAGATCCTGAAACTTTTTTAATCTACATAATTTCTGTTTTCTGAGATGCCAGGATCAAAAGTAAATTTAATATCTTTGTCCCTTTTTTTTTTTCATATTTGTATACTGGAACCTTTTAAAAGGGTATAAGCATGTCCTGATACTGCCCTACTTTAATAGCCCAGTGTGAGAGACCAGAATTTTCACTTTTTTTCAGATTTGGAAGCATTCTCCATTTTCCATTTTTGTTCTGAGTGAGAGTTTGTGTCTGAGGAGCCTTGGACATGCTGCTTACAAGTAAATGAGTGCAGACATGCCCTCCGTGCCTGCAGCCCATTGTAGGGTGGTGTGTCTATGTACAGATCGATAATGGGTGATATGGGTGTTCAATTACGCAGGTCACTTCTTTGTGAAGGAGTATAACTGAATTGCATTTTCTGAGTTCAATAATGATTCACCCTTCCTCAAAGATAACCCCTTGAGTATTCATCCCAGAAGCCATGAAAACTCCCACTGCTGTTAGATGATTTTTCCAGTAAAGTAAGAGTGTGAAATTAGATCACTGTAATTCAGAAAGTCTGGGGCAAGTAGACACAGAGACTGCATTCTTTTTGAAGCGCTGGTCACTCTCGTCACAAGTTCAATATTGTAAATACTGCTGTCAGAGTTACCTTTTGAGGGCCTGTTTTTGAGATTCCAGTCTTTTGCTTCAACTGTTTTAGCTAAATGACATATTATGAACACACTTTTGTAAACTGGGAAGTATCTAGGTAATATTAGCCTCATCATTTATTAAAGCAAATTTAGCATTCTGGTGAAATTTTATGTGATACATACTAAAAATCATGAGTTTTCTCTTTTCAGAATTTGCTTATGGTGGCCATCCTTACCCTTTTTCTGGAATATTTGAAATTTCCCCAGGAAATGCTTCTGAACTAGGAGAAACATTTAAATTTAAGTAAGTAGGGAGGATAATTTCTGTTTTGCTCTCTTAGATGCCAAAGGTTGTTTTCAGAGCTAGACAATTCATTCTGTAGTTCAAAATCTAGCAAATTGAAATGCTTCTTTGACATCGTTTGAATTACTAACACTGTATTTTAAACTCAAGTTTCTCTGATTTCTATATTGTGGAAATTAACCATATAAAGGAATTGCCATAATACAGTCTCTTAATTTTATTCAAGAAACATGTAAACAAAAAAAAACAAACCCAAACAACTCAAAACCATGTGAGTTATTCTTTCTACTTGTAAAATGTTTCCCTTTTGTATAACTCAGTTATCAAATTACTTCCCTTGTCTCCCAAAACTTCTGTTTCGGGAGGAAGTAAGGAAAATTTTATTTATTGCCTATTAAAGTAAAAAATCTTTCCTTTCTCAGTGAGAGGCCGTTGTTAATAAATTTGAAGTACATGGTTGATTAGCTAGAGACCACAGTTAAGTCACCACTGTGGATAGACCTACAGTGTATGGGTGTGACCAGAAGAAGCAGGAGCTTTAAGTGTAGAAGATACGACTCAAAATCTAAATGTTAATGCAATGTTTGAATTTAAATTCATGTTTAGCATCTTAGTTTCAAGAAACTTGTGGATCTTTAATAGTTAAAAACTTCCCATGTGAAAAAATGAGCAGGATGAGGTGCAACTTTACCCTGAATTCAATAGCAGGTTTTCTATTTTCAACATTTTTGTTGATAGTTCTTTTAACCTACTATGGATTTGAAAGATTTACAAACTGGAATGATTAATTCCATCCCGAATCCATTCTTTAGGTCTTCCCTTTAGTAAGGCTGGTAGAGAAAAGGATTTTCTAAATCTTTGCAGCTTGAATTCTAAAATGCTAACTAATATCTAACTTAAAGTCCACTTTCTGTTGAGTAATGCCTTTCTGGTAGTTATCTTTGGATTTCGTTCTTTGTTTTTTATGATGTTAAAAAAAATTACTCAATTCATAGAGGCCTCTGCCCTGCAGCAGAGAGGCAGGTACTTAAAAGTATTATGTCTAAGTGAAAATAAAGTCAGCCCTTTGATGACAAGTGTAATTAAGCAGGAATATTTGCGGCATAGATCTAGTTGTTTAATAACATCATTACTAACAAAATAGTATTTATGAACATTTCTATTGCCATAAATAGTATATTTTGAAAAATTAGCTTTTTTTCCCTTCTGGAAAAATAGTATAATTGACATTTTTTTAAAAGCATTTCATTTACTTTCAGTCTTAGAACATTAACCTTGCTTTGTTACATCAGTTATTATATTTTTGGAAACAAGCCAGTCTTTAAATCTGCTTGTAACTGCCTGCCTCACCCATCTGTGTTATTCTTTTCTTTTTTAAGAGAAGCTGTTGTTTTAGGGAGCACCGACTTCCTTGAAGATGATATAGAAAAAATCGTAGAAGAACTGGGAAAAGAATACAAAGGCAATGCGTATCATTTGATGCATAAAAACTGCAATCACTTTTCTTCAGCTTTGTCAGAGGTAAATGCAAATTTATCCTAAAAGTTCCTCACTTGAATGATACTGATCAGTGGCGACTAATAACAAGTATATTTGCTGCCCCATGGTATTCCTTTTTGAGGGTTTCTCCCTCTGATTATTCACACTGTATGTATATACATCTTTATGTATTTACATTTCTTTTTCTTCTGTGAATAACCTTTCCATAGGTAGTTGAAACTTTGGAGTCCACACAGTTGTGCCAGGAGCACATTTACATAGTAGAGGTACAGAGTAAGGGTTTTAGTTTTGTTTGTTTTTATATGTATTTTATGTATATATATTTCTAATCTGAAACACTATTGAAATGTAAGTATTTCAGAGAATTCTAATCTAACAACAAGACTTAACATTTGCTAAATTTTCCTATCCATCCTGATTTTTGTCCCTGTCTCTTACTTTATTAATAACAAGAATCATCACTCTTGAAGTTTTATTCTGCTCACCTTACACCCAGGCATGTATGTGAATCACATGGGAAAACAGAAATCCCCAGTACCCTAGATAGAGCCTTTTCTAATACTTGCAACCCTCTGAGACATTGAATCCTGATGGGAAAAGACCTCCTCAAATTTCTCCCACAGAGCAGCTGCTGGGTTCAGACTTTAAGACTTTCAGTTATTGTTGTTGTTGTTGTTGTTGTTATGTGCCGTTGAGTTGCTTGCAACTCATAGCAACCCTGTGTACAACAGCCCTAAACTCTGCTCTGTCCTGTGCCAGTCACACCGTCTCCATTACACCCATCCCAATTAACCCAGTCACTGAATCAATCCACCTCATAGAGGGCCTTCCCCTCCTGCGCTGTCCCTCCACCTCCCAAGCATGATGTCCCTCTCCAAGGACCGGTCCCTCCTTACAACACGTCCAGAGTATGTTAGACAGAGCCTCAGAATCCTTGCCTCCAAGAAGCGGCCCAGTTTAACCCTTTCCAGGACAAATCTGTTTGTTTTCCTAGCAGTCCATGGTACCCTCAATACTCTTCTCCAGCACCACAACTCAAAGGCGTCAATTCTCCTTCTATCCTCCTTAGTCACTGTCCAACTCTCTAATGCATAACAAGTGATAGCAAAGACCATGGCCTGTATCAGACACACCTTAGTCTCCAGAGAGACACCATTGCTCTTCAGTACTTTGGAGAGGTCCCTAACAGTAGACTTTCCCATAGTAATACGTTTTTTTAATTTCCTGGCTACTGGTGCCAAGAGTGTTGACTGTGGAGCCAAGCAAACTAAAGCTGTGAACAATCTCAATCTCTTTACCATCCATCCTGATGCTGCCAATTAGTCCAATGGTGAGAATCTTTGTCTTCTTGACATTGAGCCTCAATCCATATTGGAGGCTCCAGTCCTTGACCCTCTGCAGCAGGTACTTCAGGTCCTCCTAAGTTTCATCAAGCAGGGTTGTGTCAACTGCATAACGCAGATTGTTGATGAATCTTCCACCAATCCTGACACCACACTTCTCATAGAGCCCAGCCTCCCGGATAATCTATTCTGCATACAGGTTGAAAAGGTATGGAGACAGGACACATCGCTGACATGCGTCCTTCCCAATTTTGAACCATGCAGTGTTCCCTTGCTCTGTTCTGACAACTGCCTCTTGGTCCAAGTATAGGTTTCGCATTAGAACAATCAAGTGCTCTAGGATTCCCATTCTTCTCAGAGTCAGCCACAGTTTGTTATGATCCATACAGTTAAACACCTTTGCATAATCAATGAAACACAGATAGACATTCCTCTGGTATTTCCTGCTTTCAGCTAAGATCCATCTAACATTAGCTACAATATCCCTAGTACCACGACCCCTTCTAAACCCAGCCTGGACTTCTGGCAGTTCTCTGCTGATGTGCTGTTCCAGTTGTTTTTGGATAATCTTCAGCAGAATCTTGCTTGCATGGGAAATCAACAATATTGTTCTATAGTTTCCACACTCAGTTGGGTCACCCTTCTTTGGAATGGGAACAAATATCGATCTCTTCCACTCAGTTGGCCAAGTGGTTGTTCTCCAGATTTTTTGGCACAACTTGGTGAGCACGTCCAGAGCAGCATCTGTTAGCTACAGTATGTCAATTGGTATACCATCTATTCCTGGAGCCTTATTTTTTGCCATTTACTTAAAAGCAGCCTGAACTTCTTCCTTCATCACCATAGGCTCTTACTCATATGTTGTTATTAGTTACTATTTTAGTTATTAGCCCGACATTTAATCCACTGTGTCACCAGGGATAAACCAAATTTAAAGACCCTTAAAAGGCAATGTTACTGTTAGTAGGTACCATCAAGTCAGTTAAGATTCATAACAACCCTATGAACAACTGAACTTTGCCCTATCCTGTGCTGTCTCACTATCCCTGATATACCCAAGCCTATTGCTACAGTGTCAGTGCATCTTGTTGAGAATCTTCCTGTTCTTTGCTGACCCTTCACCTCTCCAAGTGTGATGTCCTTTTCCAAGGACTAGTCCCGTCTGACAACTTGCCCAAAGTGTGTGAGACGAAGTTTTGCCGTCTTTGCCTCTGAGAAGCAAAACTCTAAATTAAATGACACTTAACACAGCTTCTCAGCTTTCTGCCTTCTAACAGATGGTCACAGTGGCAGTCCCAAGGTACCGCCACAAATTGTAAAAAAGTGTAAAGAAGAAAATGAGATGTATGGCAAAGACCTCCTCTGCAGGAATGCTTTTCACACATGGCTTTGTTGTAAAATAACATTACTGACTCTAATTAAATAAAAGCAAAAGAGAGGACCTTGCATGTCAAGGGAACATCTGCAGTCATAAAGCGGAATGGCCACACCAAGGGACAGTGAAGAAGGGTCCAGAGCAAGAACTGAAAGTTACAGAATTCGTCATTGACTGAAAAAACTAACAAGGAAGTGAAAGGTAGGCTCTCAAGAAGTAAAAATTGGGAGACAGTAGATGAGTAATAGAAAAATGAGATTACACAATTGTTAAAGTTCCGGTGCCATTCAGTTGATTAATAGGGTGGTCCCAGGACAATAGGACACATTTTTCTAGTCATCTATAAATCCAGTTACTGCCTCAGCTTTTCTGTTTCTAAGGGGCCATTTTCAAGATTTTCGGTAATGCTGTGCATCAAGAAACTCCTGGCACAGCTGTTGCATCTGTCTGTTGGACCATAAAGGACCAAGACCCCTTTGCGAATAGATTGTCATACACTCTGCCTGCCAGTCCTGAGTGAAGAGGAACATCTCTCTGAAATATGTGTGTGTTTAAAAATGACTGAAAAGACAGCTTTAAAAACCCACTGGAGGGTCAGAGTTGGCTCTGACTCCACAGCAGGGAGTTTTTAAACCTAACCTGGTTTAATCTGGAAGACTGGGTGAAACCCATTACAGAACAAATCTTGTTTGTTCTAAGACCACTATTTTAAAAAACCTAAAGGAACGTTTACACGCAGATAGTATCATTCTTAGGTAGTTAATAAGGCTCAAAAATGTTGTTGTTCCAGTTAATTACCAGTTAATCACATGGGAAGAAATTGCCCATCTTTCTCCTTCTGAGCAGCTGGTTGATACAAACTGTGTGCCGTTGGGATTGCAGTGCAGCTTCTTAGCACTAAGCCGCCTGAGCTGCCTAACTAGATAACCGGTACATATTAGGATCGGTGAAGGGCTAGGCAGTATATAGTAAGGGGACAGTGAGACAGTGTGGAATTATAATTAATGTTCAAAAACAGTGTTTTTGCGTGATTGAATGAAATACCAGTATGTTTTGTAGACCTTCACTCATGTCACACAGGTTTTTTCCCCAGATTTATACAAAAATCAGAGTGTTACCAGTATACATGCATCTACTCCTACAAGGATTGAGAAATTCCCACCAGCCTGTGAGCCAGCTCCAGCCCAACACCTTTTTTACACAAAGTAAAAATGGTTTTTACATTTTCAGATGGTGGTGATTATAGATGGTGCTATTGAGCAACCCATTGAACTGCGGCTCTGGACCGTGCTCTATCCCACACCATCTTTATCATCTTCGATATACTCAAGGCCATTGAGGAGAAGTGAAGAAGACTGTACGGTCATACTTGTGAATTCTAACTCAGTGATCTCAAAAGTTTTCATATTCTCTGTGGTGGCTCTCAGGCTCCACCAAGTTGAGCATTTGCAACAGCGACAGTATGTGCTGCCAAGCCTAGGAGAGTCATCTTCTGTCCTTTTACAGATTTTACTGACTCCCTGGGAGGTCTGGTAGTTTAATGGTAAGGCAATGCTCTTCCAATGCAAAAGTGCATGGTTCAAACCCTTCAACTACTGTGAAGGAGAAAGATGGGCATTCTCCTCCCAAGTAATTTACTGCCTCTGAAAATCACAGAAGGGTCCCTTAGATCCAACAGTAACAACAGTTCCTTAGTAACAACAGGTACAGATTAGTTTGTTTCAGTTCGGAATCACATTGACAATGAGGAGGCCCATTTTCTTACTAAAGGCAATTTCTTGATAAAGCTGGCTTCCTGTTAGTATGATTGGGAGCTTCTATAATGTTATCAAAGATCCCAAAGATCTTATCAATAAACTGCTAACTACCAAATTACAGTGGCCAGTTTGTCAGTCAACCCCTGGCCTTGTAATAACAGCTGATGTTGAGCTTCTTTATCAACTCTTTCTATAGATGTAATCAATCTGATGAGATCTGTGTATATAGTAACTATTTTTATGTGGGGTTTTTTTAAGTGTTTGCAAATTAACTGCATTGATTGTGCAGAATTCTGTCATTTGATTTCCAGCCTCATTTCTGTCACCATATTTTCCAACTACCTTCTTTGTTTGCAATTTTTGCATTCCAGTCACTAGATATTATTAATGCCATCTTATTGTATATTGAATCAATTTCAGACTGCAGGAGTTTGTAGAAATCTTCTGTTTCTTCCGTCTTTGAATTTAGTGGGGTGTGCATATGTTTCAGTAATGTTGTTGATGTTGTTATGCGCCATTGAGTCGCTTGCGACTCATAGCGACCCT